CACCAACCATCCCAGTTCTAGTCAATTACATTTTCAAACAAAACATTTTAGTAAGATAGAGAAGCTACAGACTAGTTTACTAGCCTTAGTCACACACATAGTACACCCAGCACTCTATGTTAACAGTAAAGACAGTAGTGATAAATTTTGGCCAGTATGCCACAAGCATAATCAAAGCCAAATATTACTCCAAGCACGCTCACACTATTTTATGCAAATAGGGTCTCTGTTCTAGAGACTACTTTTTAAGCCAACATACTGTTCCCTGTATCCCACCAACCAGAATACAATGGGAATGGGTGGCTTAAACAAAGTGTGTGATAAAATAAAAGAGGTTGGGTCAATAGGTGATGGATAAACATGTACTGAATACAAAAATGACTGACCAGTATGTTGAGGTAATTTGGTTATACAGAAACAGGATCAATTCACAAAACAAATACATGAAAAAAATAGTTGAGAGAAAGAAGAAAACCAAAAACTTGTGGTTGGATGGAGTTCATGAGAACCTCAGAAAGGGAGCAATGAGAAATTTAAAAAACAAAAGGTAGTGTATGCAGTCATGATGGATTTAAGAACGTTTGCAAAAATAGAATGTTATGAAGAGATACAGTGAATGGTGTAGGTGTACACAAGCAAACAAACAATCAAGCAGAAAACAATAACCTAATCAAGGAACTACTAAGGAGAAGACCACACCCCCACCCTCACTAGCATGGCAAGCTACTGTATATAAACAGGGAGCAAACCCCACACTCACTAGCATTGATGATGTTACTTAGTTGGGTAATGAAACATCTGCAAGCAAGCAAACAAGCTCAGAGTGCACCAAGGACTCCACATCAACAGCTACAAGGCAATCATAGCTATAGATAGAGCATTAAACTGTTACCATTATACAATATTAACAAACATTCAGTAATGAATTCTTAACACCTTTCAAGCAGAATAGAAGACACTGATATATATTTAAGTTGATTAGCTGAATCAAACTGCTTATTTAGGGCGGAAACTCACACCCTGGCATCTTAACTGAAATCATTGCTTTGAAATCCTTAGAGCTGCACTTTCTGTTATGCATTAATGACTCCTGAGAAAGTGGGCAACGTCCTCCAAACTGTCAATCTGGCCACCTCTTTGTTGGATCATGGCCCCTCCTGGGTTGTGAAAGAGGCTCAGGTGGTGACCCAAAGATGGATCCATGTGACTGCATCGCCCTCTTTGAGGGAGGAACTGGTCCCTTCATCCTTGAATGTGGCAGTGGTGCATTCCCTTCTCAATTAGCCTTTCCCTTCTCAATTAGCCTTTGCTGGGCCCCTCCATTCTAGTAATTACTGTTCAGTTTTCAATCTTCCCTTTGTGGGAAAGGTTGTAGAGAAGGTGCTAGAATGGCAGCCAGAGTGGATCTTGGATGAAACAGACCCACCTATCTAGACCCATTTCAGTTGGGTTTCAGATTGGGACATAGTACAGGTTAGTTGCGCTTGTCAATGACTTTTGGTGGACCAGAATGGGGGTGGTGCATCCATCTTTGCACTCCTTGATGTTTCAAGAGTTTCAATACCATCATCCATGGTATTCTTCTGGACCGTTTGCACTTCCCCATTCCAGACTGGTGCACAATTTGGGAATCCTCCTGGACTTACAGCTACTGCTCAATAAGCAAGTGGCAGCTATGGCCAGGACAACTTTTCCACAGGTTGTATGCCAGTGTTGGCATCATATAGGTTATATGCCAGTTCTGCCTCCTCCTTGACCAGGAGGCCTTCAGATGTCACTCATGTCCTGGTTAGCATGTGACTGGATTACAGCAATGCACTCTATGTATGACTGTCTTTGAAGACCACCCGGAAGCTACATCTGGTCCAAAACATAGCAGTGCAAGCAGTAACAGGCACTTCACATTATGCCCATATATCACCACTGCTATGCAAGTTGAATTGGTTCCCAGTTGGCTTCCAGATACAATTCAAGGTGCTGGTTGTCACCTAGAAAATCCTAGATGGCATAGGGTCTGGTTATCTACAAGACAACCTGTCATCTGGTACATTTGGACAGAGTGGGTGTACTCTAGGTCTCCTCAAACACTGTCACCTTGTGGAACTGAGGAGGTGGTGCCTTCCGTCATAGCCCCTGCCTTGTGGAATAGCACCCCCCAAAATACATATGGTGCCCGTACTCTTAGGGTTCCAGAAGGCTTTTAAGACTTGTCTCTTTTCCCAGGCTTGGGGCTAGTCTGGGATAGTCCCTGACATGTTTCGTTATGGCCGCTTTTTGTCCAGGCTGTTATGCTTTGTTGTTGTTTTAACTCTTTTGATTGCATATTTTAATATGTTGTAAGCCACCAAGACTCTTAGACTGGGTGCCCATAATACATTTTAATAATAAATAAATAAAATAAAACATAATTGAAATCCACCAAAAGTTACTGGCAGATGATGAGCACTGAGTACATTTTAACTTATATTTCTGCACTTCTATACACTATTCCTTCGAATTATAATTTATATGTAATTACCATTTGCTGGATATCTGTTGTCTATCGTGGTGTAAAATGAAACTGCTCTCAGGTAAAAAATTCAGGAGCAAAGTATGTTTTTATTTGCCATCCCTCCAGTTATTTACAAATGTATATACAGTACTGTGCAAAAGTTTTAGGCAGGTATGAAAAAATGCTGTAAAGTAAGAATG